TGCTTATAGGGGGGGAAAGAGAAGTGCTGATTTGTGAGACAAGGTGACAAGCTGCAAGCCACCGGGCCGAAGGGCTGCATGTGGACGGGCATGTTCAGAAAAACCTTGGAATATTCCATGTCTGTGTGGCTCCCCCGGGTTCAGATGGACCATGGATCGATGGGAACGTCTGGGAGATTGCCCTCTTGTCCCATTTGGCCATTTGGTGATTTGACCTCTCGGCTCATACCCCATTCTATCATGCCTTGAGCCCATAAGCGTTGGCGATGTTGCATCGTGCGCGAAATAAAAGTGACAGCACTGCGTCACTTGACGGGGGGAGATGGCAGACCAGTCGGGAGATTCGCTGGGCGACGGGGGCGCCGCGTGCGGAGGAGACTTTTGAGAACATGACCTGGGCCTGTTGAATGTGGATAGGAGAAAGAAACTCACCTTGCCAGCTGTCTCCCAGGATCTGGTATTGAAAGGGGAGGGGTTATTGAGTTAATGTCTGCTCTTGATGCAGTGACAATCCCGAAGCCTGGCTCGTCATCGGATCTGGCACTCGCTGGATCCCCTCCCCCCTCCTCCACTTCCCTTCTCCTCATTAGATACTAGACAATACTTGTATCGTTTGCTTCCCCGGCATCGTTGGATTTGCAGCCCTTTGCTCTCGTCCGCGGCCCCTTCACTCCCTTCGTCTTTCCATCTCCAAATTGGCCTGCAGCGCTACTACAGTCACTCCTTTGCAAACCAAGACAAGAAAGCCTCTTACACTCTCTTTTCACCATGATCTTCTTCATCACCAGGGCTCTCACCCTCCTCACCCTCTCGACCCTGACCCTCGCTCAAGATGAGCCAAAGGGTGACGGCTATGTAGGCTACGAGCTCAACCGCCGCGGCGATAACGAATCAGCCGTCTACGAGACAGCCAACACAAAGCCAACACAAAGACCGGTATCGACACGCTCAACCCGATCCCGGACGTGTACCTCAACGCGTCCGTATCAGTGGGCGAGATCAGCATTGAGGTGCAAAACATCACCGCCAAAGTGAACCTCGACGCCAAGGTCCTAAACCTGCTGCACTTCCAGGCCGGCGTGGACGCCAGCATCGACCGCGTCAAGCTGGGCATCTACAACGTCTCGGCCAAGGTCGAGCTCGAGGCGCGGCTGGAGAACGTGGTCAAGATGGTGGACGATGTGCTCACCAGCATCGACCTGAACCCCATCATCGCAACACTGGGCGACACCGTCAGCGACATCGTCAACAAGACCGTCGACGTCGTCACGGATCCCGTCGAGAGCAGCGCCGCCGCGTCCGCAGTAGCGAAGCGCGACCTCACGTTCCGGCTGGAGCACAATATCCTCTACTCGGTCAACGACTTCTCGGGCCGCACGCACACGAACCGCGTGCTGGCGCAGAACGGGAGCCTGTTTGACGTCTACCTCGACAACAGCGGCAACGAGAGCGGGCGCAAGGTGGTTGGGTTCTACAGCCGCGACATGACGTTTAGCGGGCACAACAAGACCATTTCGATTGACGGGCAGGTCAAGGAGTTTGAGCTGCAGTACGTGTATGCGCCGTATCCCGGCCTCGAGGCGTTTAGCAACATCTACCTGGATACCACGGGCAAGGTCGTGAGGACCAAGATTGTGGCTGAGGCGGAGGGAGGGGGCACCGCGACGATTAGCAACGATGATGAGAGTAGTCTTTAGAGTGCCCCAAATGTAGCGACGCGGGATTTGCGAGGCATTGGGCATAATGGAAATGAGAGTTAGGGACATGCGAGTTACCGATTGCTGTCAATCGAGATTTCGATATTTCCAAATGACTGCCTATGACATGATGGTGAACCAATGCGATTGTGGACGTTGATTTGCCGTCCGAGATGGTGAGGCGTGCCAGTCTGGAAGCAGTCAGACCTCCGACGCCTGGATCGTTCGATTGGGACCGCTCCGGGGAGCCGCTTCTGGGACGGGGGCTCGTGGGACAGGGTGGGATATAAGAGGCGTGATATCGGCCGGGGTGACATTTTGGGAGCTGAAGAGGACAAGAGTTGAAGACGTTAGTATTCTCTCCGACTCTCGAGTCTTTCTCTTGACGCCATGTAGAATGGAACGCGGTCAAAGCTGCGAGCCCTACAAATCAGACGGTAAACCAGGCGGTACCGAAGGTGTATTGTGTAGTCGCCGGCGATAAAGGGGAATGACGTTGTGACGTCGTTACGTTTGGATGATATGAACATTGTGCTATTAAATCCAGTAATAGCAGAAACAGCCGCTTTCCGTTATGCCCGAGCAACCATCGAGGAACAAATCCTCCGCAGACTGTAACGCTCAGAGTTTTCGGGCTGGGCCTTGTTGGAAAGGGCCGGACGGGAGATCTCGGCCCCCATTTGCCATTCTCTTTTTTTTGATGAACCTGGCGGAGAGACGCACGGCGCGCAATGAGACCATGGCCCACCTCTTTTGTGAAGTTGCTTATGAAAGTTATGAAGTTGAATGCGACTCTGTTGGCCACTTTGGTTGCGACTCTTCTCCGCCGTGTTTGCCGGCAAGGCAAAATGTGGAAAGTGTCACTGTCAGAAACGGACTGCAGAGTCCGGTACCGCAGCGTCGCACCCGTTGATGGCCTAGACGATTCAATGTGCCGTCGACTGCAACCGCAACGCATTGGTAGGAGCAATATCAAAGCCTCTTTGGATCGACTCATCAAACTCACTAGTACTAGTGGTGTGGCTAGTGCCTTGGTCGCCAACGGCTTTTATGGAAATCTCGCTAACAAAGTCGCTTCGAGCTGCTGCTTAACTTTGAGCTGTTCTAACTTCCAACGGTTGACGCTAGCATCAATGTGTGTGTCATTGCTCATCTTTTCTTCTCCTGGAAGATGGTGTGTGTGGCTGGGCCAACAGTGCCCCTCGTGCCCCTGAACAGCATGTCGATTTACCTTTAGCCGTACATCAGAGAGCCCACTCGCTCCAGTTTACCTAAAATCTCTTTAGCATTCGAGCCACTGCAGGAACCAACTGTCAACGTGCCAACTTTGCCAACAAACTCTTCCTCGCCGTGCTTCTTTGCTTGATCAACGGAGACAGCAGCGGATGAAGGTGAACGGTCCGGCTCTCTTGACTTGATCCGTCAGACCCCCGATGAACGAAGTAACTGCGGATATGGCACCTTACTCATAGACAAACTGGCCCACTGATCAAGCAGATTATAGCTCAGTATACGCAGACTCCAGGGTGACCCATCCGTCGTCCCCATAGCGGCCTTTCCCCGAACTTTGATCGCGTGGTTCGTGGTCCCGTCTGCCCACGGCAATTGGGCCAAACCCAGATTTACGACGGGAGTCTAGGCCCTCTCTAGGCTCTATCCGCCTAGCGGAACGGCCTTTTCTTGACCTTGTCACGCTTGCCCATTGTTGGCAGATGCAGAAATCAAGGCACAGGAAATTTGGCATGTTTCATCCCTACCATTTTGAGGGGGGGAAAGATGGATCTGGATGAATGCCGTTTTCGTCCGCGTGCGTCTGACCCGGCCGTCGGCAATGCGGCATCCAGGGCGCATCTCATCCTCTTCTCAAGTTGGGTGCGTGTGATGCGTCCTCTGTTATGCGATGCAACCCCGCGACGTGACGAGATGGTAAGAGGGAGAAGAAACTTTGGTACCGGGCAGTTATTATGCTTGATTATCATTAGTTGAAGCTAACTGCCCCTATCCACGTTGCCTTGGGATGATCTGATGTTGGCAAGAGACGCGATCCTCTGACGCTATGTCACGGCATATCAGCCAACACATACCAATAAATCCATCCTGGGTTGGACTGCAATATTGCAACGTCCAATGTTTGTTCGCTGCACTGCCCGTTCCCATCATCTCATTTCGAGAGAAGGCTAAAGTGTGGACAACCATACGGATGAAGCCCGGCGATTGAGTTCCCGCTTGGCAACTCTCATCTTTCCCCAATCTGTCGTCATTCAGATGGCATGCTTGCGAATCGCGGTGCCGGAGTGGCACACGTTGATGTGAATGTAACCTCCTATGGCCGATAACGCAGACCTGAGCTGAGGTGCACCATCCGTGCTGGTGATGGAGATGATTTTTCTGCCCAACGCCCACGAGTCGTGTGTGTGTTCAATGGAGAGGTAGACTGCCGGTATATTTAGCAAGATTTGAACTAGGTCCTTGATGTGATATTTCCCTCACTTTTGAGTTTGCGATGCCACTATTTGATCCTCCCTGAAGTGGGATTACATGCAAGCTGCAACATTCAGCTATAGCTACGAGAAAGCACCAGAATCACACTGAAGTTAATGTCTCACCATCTCTGGGTTACAAACTAGAAGGCACAGCATTCACTGCATTCACATCAACTTGTTCCGGTGTTGATATCTGTGTTTAGCTTGTCTTGGCAACGACTGGAGGCGTTCACCGCGTTATTTGGTGACTTCAGGCATGTTCCCACGCGCACTTACAGTAAATGATGTAGTTAAATCTTGTATCGGTCTCCCTTCAGTCGACTGCTACTCTCAAAGAGTTAGGGACAACGTCGCAACTGCTCTGGGTGCCTGGAAGACGACGAACACTGGGTCGACTGTGTCGTACCTTATTCTTGAGAGCTACAATGCATGTCCATCGAAGCCAACGTTGATGCGGGAAACTTATGTATCATTTTGATAGACGAATCACCGTCTAAGCGTTTGACTCATCTCACTAAGTTTATAGTGAGACTGGGCCATATCTCATACGACGCAAGAAGCATTTTCACAGTGCAGGCGTCCAACGAGATATCTCAGTGTACTATCAGTGTGCTAGAAGTCTTGTGACTCGTATGAGCTAGTCTTCAACCTACCAAATCCTGAGTACTCAACAAATGCATCCATGGCAGAGGTGACCACATATCACTTGAAGCATTTACTGCCATCTGCTCGAAACATCTCTCCAAATCCTACTTGAGCAGCCGCGGATCCCAGTTTGCTCTCGACCCCAATATTCCTTCCAAGACGAGTGCCGGCATACTCAACTCTTCGAAGGCGTCGTCGCATTATTTCCTTCGTGGTTGACCCCGTCTACATTGACTTCGGCAGTGACAGAAGAAGAAGCCTGCTCCGTAATAGGATTCAATGGAAAGTCCATACCCTGTGTGTCGGACGGTCCTGCAGCAAGTTGGGCCTGAGTTGGACCGACCGAGCTCGACTCTGAACCGCTTCTGGACCAGGGTATGACTTGTTGGTTGTCGTCCCTGGGAGGATGAGTGAAACGCCACCACCACAGAGCCACACAGGAACTGAAAAAGGTCGCAATAGCAGCTGATAAAAACCCGAGTATGATCAGGGGACTCGAGGGGCTTTTCTTATACTCGAACACAAGTAGTATGATGGGGCCGACAATGGCGGCAAGCGAGAACAAGACCAGTATCAATTGTGTAATCTGGCGAAAGTTGACCGAGTTTGCAACATAGTAACGAAACTTGCTCTTGTACTTCCCGAGGAAGTGTCGGAAACTTGTAGTCATATTGACGGAGAATTGAGCCCGTCTTTAAGAGTATGTTGGTATAGAAAAGTTACCCGTAAGGCTCGCTGTGAGATGCTGGGCTGAGGCTTACTTGGGTGAGAACTCTAGATATAGACCTGGAGTGTTCCAGCAAATGTTTCTCTAACTCCCATCCGCTTAGAGTCTCCTATTCGTCACAACAATCTTGCTTTGTCAGTTGCTCCTGACTTGTTATGGCGCTTTTGTCGATATCGTTCCTAGACAAGTCTAGTGGTACCGCTTCTTCGACAGTTTATACATCTAGTTTCTAAAGAGGGATGGTCTTTCTGTCACCACAATCTAATTATCATCGTCGACGTTTGATGGTATGTGTCGAGCCCCAATCTGACCATTCCCTCTTGCTCTTTCATTGTTCTAACTGCAAGATTGTCGGAAGCCCTGCCGACGTGCGTCTTGAGGCGGATACATGTGGTCTCAATCACTGGACCATCCATGGCTTTCGCAAAATGCAAACAATGGACATCATGGTTTCAGTCTAAGATCTCTGGACTAAGTAGATATTTCATCTGTGATTCCCGTCGCATTGTCCTCGTTCTGCACCTCAGGGCAGTGTGCAAATCACCCGCAAGTTGCACCTTCAAGTAAACAAACAAACTCACTTTATGAAGTCTCCCCTTGACTTGAATGGACTGACTCAGTGCTCAACAAAACCGTCGAGGCCGAAAACAACGTGCGGGTGGACGTAGCAAATCTGCAGATACCCAAAAAAGACAAAAGAATAAGAACCCGAAGAATGACTTGGTCAATCGCGGTGAGGATTTGAGCCTCACGCGGGGGTCGAACCCGCAACCTTGAGATTAAGAGTCTCACGCTCTACCGATTGAGCTAGCAAGGCGGGTCTTGTTTGATGACTGCTTTTCCAAACTGACAGCTTATAGTGGCTTCAGACCCGCCTGTGCTCCCCAGACACCGAGGACCCAGCGATATCTTTGAAGAAGCGAAAGGCGAAAGGGTTGGTACTGTGATGCAGAGTGGTGAAAGGCAAAAGTGCTGAAAATCATTTGAGTGCAACTAGATGAACCTTGTTCACATGACGAACGATTTACCCCAATTGGAGAAATGGACTTTTTCGGTGAAGGCTGGCACAGGCCATTACACAATGCTGTTAATTACAACTGAGCTCCAACGCGCGATACAACGTGAATATTGTTGACATGTTTGATATCGATGGAATCAACTACTAGGGCATGTCTTAGTTCGATAAGCGGAGGGTGTACAACTGAGGTTCGGAAAATGAACACTCTACTCCAATTAACAAGAATTAGCTAAGTCTTTACTACTCGGAATGCAAGATGCATCACAAGATACATCCAAGATGAAGGTCATCGTGATGTCTTCCTTCAATCATCATGCTACACCTCAAACGCCCCGCTTAGAATAGAAACATCTCATTTGATACACATGATTCGTCATTGACTCTGGAAACAATCGCTCCCTGTTCACTTTGTCACCGTCGGAGTCCCATCTCCCAGCTCTGCCCTCGGCACCTCCCGCTCCGTGCTATCTAGCTCACTGACAGGGTGCAAATCGCTCCTAAGGGCAGAGTAAGATGGGAGATGCCGCGGGTCTGTAGGATGGCTGCTGAGAGAGCTCACATTGCCGTCCGAGTAGGTCGACATGTGGCGCGGGTCCATGCTCATGGGCGAGCTGGGATGCTTCATGGAGTAATATGGTGAGTGCGGTGGAGGTGACGAAGAGGCGTAAGACTCGGGGACGGCTGTCGTCGCGTACGACGCTATGGAACATGTCAGTCTCGATCTGAATCTGAATTGGTGGATGTGGCGAAGACTTACCATGGGCTGGATCATACGGGTTAGGGCTGTGTGGTGCATATCCCATCTCAGGATGTTGGCTCGGGTGAGGGCTCTGGGCGGCGGACGGCTCCCACGCCGGCGGCTCACGTCTTTCGTTGCGCTTTCTGGCGTGCCATCCGCACCTCCAGATGATCGCAACAATGATACCAAGAGCCACCGCAGCACCAATCGCGATGCCGACAATGGCCCCCGTTCCCAGACCTCCACCACCACCTCCAGAGGGCGACCCACTCGGAGCCGGCGTTGCTGTAGACGATGCCGATGCCGACGGCGTGGGTGTCACGGACTCATCCGGTAGGAACACTGCCCTCGAGCTGGCATTCGAACTCAGCGTCGCCGATATAAGATTCGTCTGCGGGCATAATCCATCGGGTTCCTGACACGGGTTCGTCGCGCAGCATCCGATGAAGGAGATGTCGTTTGTGCACGTCCAGAAGATCTCGCTCGGTGGTCTGGCATCGTCGCAGCCCTGGGCTGGTATGTTGGCGTAGCGGTCTGGGTTGAAGGCCGATATCCTTCGGTCCTTTGTTGGACACTTTCCGCTGCCGTCGGCGCAGGGGTTTGTCGCGCAGCAGCCCAGGAATTCGACCTTGCTCCCTTCACAGATGTAAAAGTCGCCGCCTTTGGGACAGCTTAGGCCTAAGCTGGCTACCGCCATTGTAGAAGGTTGGTGGACGTGAAGCTGTATATGCCCAAGTTTGGAAGCTTGGTTCACTTTCGATGTTCACGGCTTGAGGCCAAGCTTGTATGGTATATGAGAAACAACAGCAGGTGATTTTGAGGAGATTTGACAGGAGCACATGGTAATGCTACTTAAGACATAGGTATAAGATGTATATAAGCTCATAAGCGTAAAATTTGAGGGAAGGCCCGCTGCCAAAAGGCGTGACCAACGGCTCTAAGCCTGCATCATGCTGATCGCCGACTCGACCAGGCATCATCATTCGACATGTCGGACTAAGACGGGGCTTTTCTGCCGAAGTACCTGCAAGCAGCCTTGGAAACCTCGTCTTTCTTCTGCAGGTAGACAAATATTTGTCTTATTTTTGCAAGGGGAGTGTGAGAGGGCGATGGGAGGATACAGCCAAATTTCGCCCTTGCGGGTCTCCACAGCCTCCTTTGGGGGCACAAAGCCAGGAAGCCTGGCTTCTCTTGGCATCTGGAGCTGGGCGACAGCCTCTTCTCTATCACCTGAAGGTTGATGGTTGCGGTGTTTTCAAGCAGGCTGTGCCAGTCTCCTACGTATTGGAATTGATCTGCATATGCTGTGTGATTCTTTGGAATCTTTTGCATACAACCTTCTTTGGGCGTGTACGACCTCGGAGGCAATAAAATCGAGACTTGGAGGGCCTAGGGGCCACGATAATCTTGCTGTTGGTGCGTGCTACTTGTGTGCCGCATGATCTCATGAGACAGGTCAGGGACGCACAAGAGAGCAATTGTGCAAACAATGATCAAACGGGAGGGCCGTTGGTGGCAAGATGAAACTCTTGATGAGTGCATCTGCGGCAAGGTAGTCCTGTTGGTTAGGAAATTAGATGCAGCGTCGGTTGGTGCATGTCTTGTTGGAACTTGGTGGTGTTGGTGTTGGTGGTGGTTGGGAGGCTGAGGCTTTGCACTATTTCCTGAAGGATCACCTGCGGAGTTCTTGGTAGCTCAGCTGAGAATGAGAGTGAGATAAGCCCATGTCGGCTTCTCAAAGCAATTCTCCAAAGCTAAAAATACGAAAGTGAGCGACGTAGGTTTGTCATGGTAGCAACCCCGATCGGGTGGGCTATTGCTGACAGGATGACAGGATTCCACCAAGACACCAGTTCCCGAGAATGCGGATTCGGATTCACTACTGTCTGTAGTACTGCATCGGCTCACTGTTGACAGCCTGCGATAGATAAGGAAACCCCATCGAAAAGTTTGAGTGCACTGAGGTGTTGCGATTGACGTTATGAGGCAAAGAAGCGAGACTTAAAGTCAATGAACGAGACGAACCCGTAACTACAGCACCGGATTTTTGGGGGCAGAGTCGCATCGCAACCCGGCCATTTGATCGGGAATGAGATGGGTTCGGACACGTAACCGCATACTTTGCCCAACAAGCCCGTTGCCAACTCGTGTCCGCGCTTCTCCGTAGAGTCTAATTTCTCACTCATTGGAAAAGGCTGTACTGCCCCATAAGTGAGATGGCGATATCCGAGAAGAAGGAGGGTCGGGAAGGAAGCAGGGTGGAAGGTGGGCTCATGAAGGAGTCTTGCTGACCGCCACGGTCCGGAGCCTCGGTGCTGCGCTGCCTGTGTCGGCTACACCATGAACGTGATCGTGACTGCACGGCTCGCTGGGCGGTGTCAGATTCTCTAAACTCTCTCGCTTTTCGAGCTGGCTTTTGCCACCAGGTATACTTCGATGGGAAAGATGATCGCAGAACGTTTCTTGTAGAGGGGGGCAACGAATGCTCTTCAATGTGTCTCGCAACCCCTTCGATCGCCATCATACTGTCAGACGGATTATTCGCTTGCCATCAGTGTATTAGGAATAGCCCTGGTTGGTTCCTGATCGTCTAGAAGGCTGGAAACATCTTGGATCAGTGGGGAGTGGTAATCAACCCCGCGAAACGAAACTACTGAACACCACGCGGAAACTGTTGCCATATTGTGTAATCAGCCCGAAGATCGTCGTGATGTTACGAGCCATGCGAAAAGTACCGGGGGTCAAGCCCGATGAAATTACCAGAAAAGGCAATTTCTCGGATGAGGGAGGAGGAGGGCGGCCTGGCGAGGATCTCCCGGCGGATGCCGTATTCTCGAAGACCCAGCGCGGAGGTAACGCAGCCATTAGTTCGAGACTTCCGGGCCGGGCCATGATCAATGGAGGGGGCCTCACGGCTTCGCAGTCACACTATCACACATAGTTCACTGACTGGCCCGGCGTGGCTTAAGTTCGTCGGGCCTCCGAGACCGCATCACCCAACACTCGACCGATTCCGAGGCATAACTCTGGCTTCGTTGGGGAGGGCCCTACTCCGGATCCGGGCTTGAGCAACTTGAGCCGGTAGAGCCTTTCCAGCCGCGACTCTTGCAGGTTGTCTCACGGTGATTGCCGATTCAGTCTGACCCCTCCATTGAGCCCGTCACAGTGGTGAGAATCGGTACCGATTGCCGTGTCTCAAGTGATGAGCCCCCCCGGAGCTTGTGGGTACCAGCTCTCCGGAACCTTTGCACCCGCAAACACAATCTGCGAATTCGCCAAGTGAGAGGTTCTATTTTGAAGAGGCTTGACATCAGACGATGGAAACATCATGACACGTACAAAGTGTGAAGGAGTAAAACCTCGTGGGTCTACAAACTCACGAGAACGCCGAGCAAACATCGCCGTTGATTGTAAAACAGCGACGGCGAGCGGGTTTGCACAATAGCCCGGTTCAAGAAAACTTCAAAAAATCGTCGCAACACATCGTCAACGTAAGCGATCCCGAGTATGGAGGTGCAGCATTGATCCTCTCGGACGGCGTTGAGAATCCTCTCAGACGGTCTTCGAGACTCGTGGCGGCGCCATAACCTATGGTTGACTGGCAACCCTCTCAACCAAGGTGGCAGCACTTCCTTCTGGTGACGACGGTGATGATCCGTGGCCGGGATGTGGAGAGTGCGGCCCCCATGCCCGGGGGAAGACCACCGAATCCTATTGTCTCCAACACCATCGCATCCGAAAGCCCTGCGGGGCACATGGGAATCAGTGCGCATCGGCGAGCTGGATGTCGTCCGAATAGCGAGAATAGAGCGAGTACACGTACGTAGTGGGCAAGTCCTGTAGGATGATCCTCACGGCCAGCCAGCCACGGGCCACCAGAGGAATTCGCGCCGAAGACAATGGCGAGGGCCAGCAACTTTGACCAGGCTCATAGGGAAACCAATGATGCCTCTGCGGGTATGTACCCATGCGTACATAGGTGCGAGCAAAGGGATCCGTGGCGGTGGGACATGCCGCCTTGGCTCACGGCCGGGGCTCGGTCCGGGCGGTCTCAACGACTTCAATGTTCTATCTAATATTCCTGGGCAACTAGAACTGAGGTAGCAATAAGGGGTGGAGAGCAACGGCCGTGATAGCGCTTCGGTCGTGTGGGTTTAACCATGGTGTGGTAGAACCCAGGCGCGCCAAGGGACCGGTCAACCAAGCGCTAGTTCAGGGACGTACAATGAAGGGCAAAGATCAGCCCAAAAAAAGAATAGGGATGGACACTCTCTGGGGCCTTGTGGCGTTACGTTAACTCTGTTCGGCTCTCGCTTTTTGGTGCGGGAAGCGATGTGCAGCGTTGGGAAACTAACTAGCAGCAGCACCCGCGCTCCCAAGACCTTTGAACCGTCTCGTTTCACGGACGTCCGGAGGCGCACGTCCATGTCCGGCGGTCTCTCCACGGGCGTCCGGGCGCGCCACGAACCGCCTCAGGTGAGCCGGTTGTCTAGGAGGGGAAAGCGAGTAAATAGAAACAATGGAGTTGTAAAGGAGACGTTTGTTGAGATTGAAATGTCATATTTAAGAACCTGGAATGCCAGCCTCGATACATCTCCTTTTCGAAACAATCCAGCAGAACTCAATCACTCACTTAACCAGTCGATCAACTCCTCGGTATCTCGACGATCCAACCCTCTTGACCAACACACCATCACCACCTCTCTCTAGTCAACACCACATTAACACTATTCAAAATGCCTGGCGTTACTTCTCAGTCTACCGGTTCCAAGTACGATGCCATTCCCGGCCCCCTGGGTTTGGCCTCTGCTTCCCTCGAGGGCAAGGTCGCTCTCGTGACCGGTGCCGGTATGTGACATCCCATTATCCAATGCTTCCCTTCCTGTCTCTCCTCATGAGAAGCTCGCCCTCGGGAGAGCTGCAACCGACAACCAGCAAGCTTCCTGGGGTGCATTATTAGGGTGGTCTGTTCGTCTGATCTCGAAACTCAACTAACACAAACACTATCTAGGCCGTGGTATTGGTCGTGAGATGGCCCTTGAGCTCGGACGTCGCGGTGCCAAGGTCATCGTCAACTACGCCAACAGCGCCGAGACCGCCGAGGAGGTCGTCCAGGCCATCAAGAAGTCCGGCTCCGACGCCGCTTCCATCAAGGCCAACGTTTCCGACGTTGACCAGATCGTCTCCATGTTCGCCGAGGCCAAGAAGATCTTCGGCAAGCTCCACATTGTCTGCTCCAACTCTGGTGTCGTCTCCTTCGGCCACGTCAAGGATGTCACCCCCGAGGAGTTCGACCGCGTCTTCTCCATCAACACCCGTGGCCAGTTCTTCGTTGCCCGCGAGGCCTACAAGAACCTCGAGGTCGGCGGCCGTGTCATCCTCATGGGTTCCATCACTGGCCAGGCCAAGGGTGTCCCCAAGCACGCCGTCTACTCTGGTTCCAAGGGAACCATTGAGACCTTCGTCCGCTGCATGGCTATCGACTTCGGTGACAAGAAGATCACCGTCAACGCTGTTGCCCCCGGTGGTATCAAGACCGACATGTACCGGTAAGTGCAAACTTCAACTTAGTTGCCTCACAGATCAAGAAGCTAACCTACCATTCAGTGATGTCTGCCGCGAGTACATCCCCGGTGGCACTGAGCTCGACGACGAAGGTGTCGATGAGTACGCCGCCGGCTGGTCTCCCATGCACCGTGTCGGTCTCCCGATCGATATTGCCCGTGTCGTCTGCTTCCTGGCTTCCCAGGACGGCGAGTGGATCAACGGAAAGGTTCTCGGCATCGACGGTGCCGCCTGCATGTAAACTACCTATACCATACCTAATGTAGTAATCGGAGTAATGGGCATCGGACGGGGATACTAGATTGGATCATGTACATTTTAGATTTATGACATGGGATATAACGAATAAAGACATATGCCCCATAACAAACAGACTACCAGTGTCGTGACTGCCCTCTGTGCACCTTTCTATCTTAGTATAGTAAAGACTTACTGGCCTAGTTATCTCTAGTGGGCGCCTTTGACTTTTGACACTTGTTTTCTCCTATGAGCTGAATTTGCTTTGCAATATTTGGCCATACTGATAGACGAAAATTTGGATAGGCTTGAGACTTTAAACCTCAAGTGTTTACTGCGGCAATCGTCGTAGCTTACTTTCGCAACCGCCCCACCACGACAACAAATTGCAAGGTTCGCGCCGCTCATCCTTCTGAACCTCCTGTACTCCGTACGAATGTTCGGCATCCTCTATCCGAGCTCTGTACTCGTTTTTCTGTCTGAAATTACCGGCGGATAATTGTTCTATAACAGATTGCCTTGCGTGACTAAGAAAATAAATGCCTGGAGATGTTCGAACTGTTGCTGCTTGATAGAAACTAGACTTGCATTCTCGAAAACCATGAAGATAGTCCGCTGCCCCGTTTCCCGGATCGAGTATCCAGGCAATGCAAGTGCTCGTTCCCCAACGGTATGTTATGTTTTGAGAAGCGACAGTTGGACATTAGATCTTAAAGTAGAGTACGGATACTAAGTCGGATTCGCAACAGGCGAGGTTGACCAATTTTCGCAATTTCTCTATACCTAGATGCCCACATTGAGTTTGCGCGATTGACAAAAAGGTGAAGAGCATAGGCACTACCCGAAACTCTTTGAGTTCCCCGGGAGAACCGGTAGCTGCGGTGAATGATCGACACGGACAAGCCCGTTAACTTCTTTCTTAGAGTTCCATGGTTGTGGTTCTACCGTCTCCATTCCCCTGACGCGTGAGTCCTAGAGTACTATATCCTAGATGAGGACTGCTAGCCGTAACCTTGAAGCTGGTAAAAAGTGTCCGTGTTGCTGGCAGTTTGACCAACAGTTCGCAGATAGAGTTTGATAAGATGGTTCGTGTGGTGGTCTAAAAAGAATGCGATCGTCGTGAGCTTGACTCGTACAGGGCAAGAACTGCCTGTTCTTGGGAAACCGAGGCGCTGCACAAGTCATGCGCTTATGAGGCGAGAGCAAGGAGGATATTACCGATAGTCATGACACCGGGTAACCATTCTGTATGAAACCCGATTCTCCCGGTCTTTGAATACTTAATACCTCCAAAGGCGGCTTGATTTTGCGATTACTATTCCACCACACTCAACCTATACGCTCTTTACAACAACTAGCCAGTCTTTACCAGCCTGTAAACCCATTTTCAAAATGCACGCCGCCTCTATTCTCGACGTTGCCCTCTCGGCCGTCGCCATGGCTGCCGACAAGCCCAAGCGCGATTGCAGACGCGACAGATCCCACCCCGGCCGCGGCTGGTACTGGATTGTCGAGGGCGACACCCTCAACGAGATCGCTGCCGACTTCGGTTCCACCGCCAACATCATCGCCGCCATGAACGGCATCCCCAACCCCGACTCCATCCCGGCCTGGAAGACCATCGTTGTCCCTTGCCCTCCTTAGATCGACCAGCCTAGATCGATGGATAGCCTGCGATACAACACCGACTCATCGCAAACGAATTCCACTACTGCCAGCAATTCAAGAACTCTGGTCGACGGCCAAGTCAAAGCTTAGAACAGCGCTCAGATAATGCATAATCAAAAAGTTCAGAGCCCATACGACCCGCTCGAGTGATTCAGTAATTCGTCTCGGTTTTGTCACAAATAGACACATTCAGAAATAATTGAAAGCTTGAACCATTTCAGAAGGGTCTGGGTACCTTATTAGGTCTGGTCGGCTTCAGCATACAAGATGTACTATCCTGTTTTGATGCGGCAACCTTTGTGACATACACTCAAGGATAATAAAACAGAATTACACATCAAGGCTATGTGCTGCCTTTCCGGCGATCTATAGGCTTCATCTCGAACTCGCCTACGCTCTTTGAAATGTCTGTCTCTATGGATCCATTGTGATGTCCGGTTTGAGGTCGAGGTGTGTATTCAACGCTCACCTCAGTAGTCCATGTGATACCGCCTCTTCCACTAGTATTGCTTCCTTGCTGGCCCGAAACCAGTATGCTGCTGTCACTCGAAGCATCCTGATCTCTCGGCTCTGCTCTTGTCGCCGTCACAGTACTCCGATTATAAAATCTTCCGCTTGTATCCCCTGTCTTGACGTATGCTCCGGCTCCCGGCGAGGACTCTGTTCGTTTCCGGACCTGGCGGACGAAACCACGGAGAACTGGTATGGATGCTGAGATAATAGTGACGTTCGGTTCTGCCATAGACCATACCCAGTAGACTGCTTGGTTGTGTAGATCTGGCAAAGTAATCGACGTTAGCGCATGCTAGTTTTCAAAACGATATGAATAGTCTATCGAGACAGTGAGAGTATTCATTGATACTGTGTATTAATACCGTGTAATCGATATCGAGAATCGCCCGAGCAGCCAGCAAAGGCAGAATACAAAAACAAATGAACCACTTACAATCAGGAGATCTCACGTTGATCAGCATGTAGCCCTGGACAGCTTTCATAGCCCCTGTAACACCTGCTAGGATCCCCATACTTAAAGCCACGGCCACACTTATTCTCTCTGACTGTTTCATTTGTAGGTTGAAGATCATCTTCCATGGTAAAAGAGCAAGAGCAATGTCGCAAATCGCCGAGTATACTGCAGTAGACAGATCAGAAACGGATACCACTGCCAGAAATGGTGATAACTCACATGCACTGAAGACAGTGAAAGCTACCGACTGGTCTAATCGCCAGCACCTATCCCCTCCGATATGTCCTAGGTCTGGTGCACCGCAGATAGCCTGCCATGTTGCGATGATATGTATCGCAAATTGCAGGTTCATCGTAATGATAACGCCCCATATGAGCTTTGCTTCCCAACCCCCGGGCATCAACCGCAACAGTGTGATTCCAAACGATGTCTTCGTCAGCCCTAGAGCGACAGATTGAAGGTTATGGTGCGTTCGGGCAATAGTGATCTTCAGCAGGTTTCCTCGAATAAGAAACACAGCCATCAACCAGGACACGTTTGCTGACGCTAGAAGCAAGAAGAACCATCCTGCAACGAGCACCCAGTCGTCTGTTTGGAGCCCAATTCCGGTATTTCGAAGCCGACTGTAGACTCGGAGGGCGAGGAAGACAGTCGATAGGAAGAGCATCTAAAGATCGAGAAGTTTGTCAGAATAGGTGTTCAACTCAAAGCAAGCTACCTCGGACCCTCAGTTTAGCAAATTTGACTTACCACCCATGTGGTTGCATGGACAAGCACCGAGAGATCGCTGTTGGCCCACGCCATGACCACAGCGAGCAGATGGAGATCTGAGCAGGTCGTTTAGACCACCGAGATTCTTTTAAAGCCCATCGTGAGTCCGAAGCGGAGGTCTGTCTCAGGAAGTCTGACCCAGATTTGGACCATGGTAGGAAGTTAAGTAGGCCAGGATGCCCGTCCGCAAGCTATTGCGCAGGCTCTCTAGAGTGCATGCGGAGTTGCTTACCAAGATCTACTCCTAGGACCTCATCCTGTAGACCGAGTCATATCGTGATGTTAATCTTGGCCGGGCATTGCGGAGCTATGAGCCGACCCTTGTAGGGTCTCTTGGCAAGGTCCGCATAAAAGCCATATCAAGCAAAGTCCGAGGAGGCATCCGTAATTGTATGCGCCGTTGCGGCGCAGCTTGGTCTGCTACGGTCTTCGACCAACGAAAAACTGCAGTATTCATCCGCCTCCAGGGTCCTGGGTACGTTCCGCCTTGGCAGAAATTCGTAAAAACCTGAAGTCATCCCGCTGCATACAAGCGACATTGCGTTTCATAATCGCTAAAGAATCAATCGAGGATTTCTACGCTGTGCCGCATGTACGCCCCGAATAAAGATATCATTGACCAAAGAACTGAAGATGCGAGACCGAGCTGTTCCAGGGGCTCCAGGGACTGGTGGATGATGAGTTGAGCTTATCCGGAACGATGGTCTAAAGACCTATTTTGTGATATCCTCCGTGCCGCGTATTGGTCCCGATGTCTGACTGGTGGCTTCGGTGGCTTCGATGCCAACGGCCTGCGGTGTTTCTGCACATACATATCGCAAAGCGGATTTCAGGCCTGGAGAATGGAGAGATTACTGACGAAGTAAGGCGGATGCATCCCTAACTGTTATTGGGCATGCTTCAAGTAAATAAAGACTCGCGGCCCGGCGTTCTTACCACAGAGAAGGCCGTAGTATTAGCACCAGACCACACTCTCCCTCACTTTCTTTGGGTGTTTTTCACCCGAGACATTCATTTGTCCCCCATGGTTCTCAAGAAGTATCTTGGCATAGCTGCCTTACTGGGCCTCTTCGACCAAGCCTTAGCTCAGCTAAACACCACATCATCTGGGTTCAAAGCTGTAAGTTCTCTTATTGACGGGGTATCTCTGCTCTCGGTTGCAACGGATCTGCAGCGCCTTGCTTTGCATGTCGGACACTGATTGAAACTGAAAGTGCGATGCCCTCTTTGATGCCGGGCTTGGGGATATTCTCGTCTTTCCGACCGACATCGCCTACGCTGAGAGTACCTCGACATACTATTCGTCAGAGAATCGTCGACTTCGACCCTACTGTATCGTTCAGCCGCGCTCGACCGAGCATGTTTCCTCCACCATCAAGGCTCTGGGTGGCGTGAGCGGTGCCGGGAACTGGGACGTAGCTATTCGCTCTGGTGGTCATAGTGATTACGACAACAACGCTGCTCACCGAGGTGTCACTATCGATCTCACATTTTTCAACTCTACTGAGCTTGTCAAGAGCAGTTGTTTCAATGGTACTGCTGATTGGATAGGCCGAAGCGTCCTGACCAAGGTAAGTAAAATTCTGTCGTGATTTTGTAGAATGACGAGCTAATACCGGGAAGAATATCGTACAGATCCGCCCTGCTGCCCGTTGGGGAAATGTCATGACCTACCTCGAGCCATACAATTTAGGAGTTACAGGTGGACGATCTGGCCACGTCGGCGTTGGTGGCCTGCTCGTGTCTGGCGGCGCTTCTTACCACACGCAGCTTTATGGCTTTTCATGCGACAATGTAGTCGGCTATGAGGTCGTCCTCGCTGATGGATCGATAATCGAGGCTAATACAGAGGAGAACACAGATCTCTTCAAGGCTTTGAAGGGAGGCGGAAGCAACTTGGGCATTGTCACTCGTTTCGACCTCAGAACCTTCACCGTACCCCCTACTGGCGCCTATGGTGGCCTACTCTTTGCGTCCTGGAGCGACTTGAATGTCGTGATTGACCAGTTTGTCAGCTATGCCAGCTCAATCGGTTCCGGCAGTCCCGACCACGAGTTTGTCGTCTATCGGTCCGACGCCGGCAACCTGGCTGTGATGGCCATGGCAGTCAGCACTGATGGCAACGAGAACTCGACTACTTTTGCCCCTTTCAATGACATTACTCTGACAAGGGACGTGAGATCTAAGCAACCTCTCAGTAAGATTGCGGCGACCATTGCCGACACCGGTGGATCGCATTACATCCCTTTCTCTCTGTCCCTTCAAGCCACTGCGGAAATCATGAACAAAGCTGCCGAAATCTTCGTGGCTTTGACACAAGAGTTCGATGCCACCAGTGTTCCAGTTTCCGTCAATTTTGTTTTTCAACCCCTCCCGAAGAACCTCGCCGCCGTCACGCCCGGTAACAACATACTAGGCTTCGACGAGAACCTACCCTCGGACTCAATTCTCTTTGAGGCTAGAGGCACCCTAGCAGCTACTGATGCAGAGTATGGAGGCGTTGTTGAGAGTATGATGGGTAGGGCTATCGAGGAACTCAGAGCATACTCAGCTTCATTCGAAGGCCACTCGACCTTTCTATACATGAACTATGCCAACCCAGAACAAGACGTCATTGGATCGTATGGTGCAGAGAATGTACAATTTTTGAAGGATGCGGCTGCGAAGTACGATCCGAATGGCTTTTTTCAGTATCGGGTTTCCGGGGGGTGGAAGGTCAGCCGGATATGAGCATCCGTCGACGAGGGGTTTATGCGGGGGTCTCGTTTCTTAGCTACTCTTGAATTAACGGGCGGAATACATGTAATCTGAGATTGTCTCTCAAACTCGCACGCCTCGAAGAATACCCTTGCTCTTGTGTGAAGTGAATGTTGTCTTCAATGTATAAATGATGATGGTGAAGGAATAGTTCCCTCCTTTTGTGCGTGCAGCCAATCTTTTGCTGAAACATCGAATTTCACATGATTCTTACGTTGCAGATGCTCTCCACACATATGAAAGTCTCGGCCGCCTGAATACATGTAGCAATTTCTCAATCTTGTGGTTGGTCTTTACATGACCAGACAAACCATTGTTCTCGCTGTGATATAATGGAAGATGAAAGACACAGTGTATAAAGGCACCGAGAACAGAATAAAAGGCGTCTATTCGATGCCGGAACCCTTATTGATTCCCAAGAGCAGTCCCCCTGACAGGAATACCTTTCAGTGTTCTGATTCTAGAAAAGAGTATGGCCGTGTACAAGTGGCGGCCGTAGTTCCGACTGTAGTATTGATGTCGACCGATACAAGCACTGTGCGGGCTCACGTTACTATGACTGACGAGCCCCAACTGGAAGTAAAGGCGACCGACGTACCCGAGAACGCTGCTGGTGTCGAGGAGAATTGTTGATGCCCAGCTTGCGTTAGCGGTTTATCCCTTACTTGCTGAAAATGACACTACAGGCGCGAGGGGCGTAAGCAATCCACACTCCATGAAAATATTCCCTGGACATAAAACAAGAATTCATGTCCTTTAGCAAGTAAGAGTCTGACCAAATAGTAGAGAAAGCTTTGCTGCGAGACAAACGCATTCATAGACATATCTTGGTCGAGATTGCAAGTACAAGGTAGGTATGATAACGCCAGGAGGCGCACGCTTCTTGCAGTGCTGCTCCCAAAACAAGGAGTCAAGCAATGCCCTAACTTGAGCCGCCAGTTGTGACAATTACCAGAGTTACCTTAGAGCCCGTCTCTTGTTAAATCAAAGCCCAATGAAAGCAAACGTAGGGGGCATTCATCAAAGACGCGCAAGGACCAGCAAGGACCTAGGAGGTTAAAATCGTCCTCATTATTAGTAGGCTGTTTTAATTTCTTCAGTGTCTTTGTCTGCTTGAGGCGGGCAATGCGTTGTAATCTACTGTCACAGAAAGGAAAGACGGCCAAACTGCCGACCATGATGATGCTGCCAACAGCAGTTTGAACGCGATGCCCAGGTTTGTTACATGCAACTATGATTCCTACTGAGATGCAAACCAGGTAGGTAATAACCAGGTAAATGCAGAAGGCCAAGCCAAGCTGAGAAGGCGTGTACCCTCGAAGGTGTTGCTAGGAGAAGTAAGACTAGAAGAACTACGGCTATGTGTTGCAGACCGATAAATAAAACCATTGCGCAGAATACCGCAAACACCACGCCGCTTCCTTCAACACCGCCCTCCGGGCATCTTGATTCCTCGCTGTTTTGACTCCTGTGTTGGTAATAGATATCGTCGGCTTGGTGTTGCTTTTGGCACCGGCACCTTGACGGCGTGCGACATTACTACCATTCGTATTCTCGTCGCACGTCGCAGTTCGGCGAGTGATGCTAGAACTTTCGAAAGAACGCCCAGGAACATGATCCTCGAGTAAGGGATCAAAGACGTTGGGGTCTAAGGAACTTATTTCCCGCCCGCTGCCGCGCAGATCCACATCAAAGTATCATGGCTCGCGCCGTATTTCCCCGCACTTTTCCCTATTAGGAACATGTTCCAACTTCCGAGCCCATCGAGGTGCATTCGCCATCATTTCTCCAATAGTGATCCTGGGCAGACCTTAGTCGATTCTTGCATAACACGTAGCTTTCTGCCATTCCGTGGTTGATCACTAAGGCTAGCCAGGCAAGCTCAAGATTATGCTTTCCTCTACTCTGTAAAGAAAAGACTGGATTTGAAAGCAACAAGAGGCTAGCGACCAAGTCGTGAAGAGCACTATAAAACTATCAGTTCCAACTCAAGCTACTTAGTATTTCTCATTACAATCAGCTCAGTTAAAAGCTGTCCGCTTCACCCTAACAATCCGATCATCTACGAATAGCATCGAATTATAGATCACCATGGCTATTATTGCTGTTGCAGGCGGCACGGGGGCGGTAGGCAAGACTATCGTCAAGGGCATCGTTGCTCACGGCGGCCACAAAGTCTTCGTTCTCTCAAGAACGGTCAGTGTTTACGGGATCATCTATTCCGTATCATCACGGTATTTACTGACACTCGATTGTACAGAGCCGAGAACCAAAGGATGGGGTACAATTTCTCGCTGTTGATTATCAGGACGTGGAAGGAATCAGCAAGATCTTGCAAGAGAACCAAATTGACACCGTCATTTCCGCTATGGGTGTTGTCACGCCGCAGACCAACCAGGCTCAAATTAACCTGGTCAAAGCATCGAACACGTCCAGCTCGACGCGCCGCTTCATCGTCAGTGCCTATGACATGCTACACACCAGGGAGTATGGCCATGCCTCTATGTCAACCTAATGACATGTAGATGCTAACAATGACCTAGCCAAATTTCGCATTATCCTCTCGCTCAATACGCTTTTGAGGCAATTGAAGAGCTCGATAAGACAAATATCGAGTATACTCGAGTTGTGAACGGCTTCTTCTTGGATTATTTTGGCATGCCACACTACAAGACGCATCTCCACCCATGGGTCAACTTCGTCAACTTGGAGAAGAAGTGGGCTGTCATTCCTGGTGACGGCTCAGCCAGGGCCAATTTTATCACAACGCAGGATATGGCGAAGTACATTGCTCGCCTGGTAGGTCTTGAGAAGTGGTCCAAAGTGAGCAGCATTGTAGCCCAGAACCACTCGATATCTGAGATACTCGAATTGGCAGAGAAGACACGAGGTGAGGTATTGAGGTCTGCCTGATTCCCGAATTCGTACTGACAGAAACTTGCACACAGGTCCCGGATTCAGGGTTGCTTATGATGACTTGGAGAAGCTCAAGTCAGGGAAGATTTCCTTCATTAAGGACTTCCCTGATTTCGAGCTCAGTCGCGAAGAGTCGGAGGCCCTGTTTGCAAAGGTTCACTATTATGCTGGCATCGGGAAGTTTCTTGTTCCTACCGAAGACACTTTGAACTCTAAGTTCCCAGACATTGTTCCGACAACGGCTGCTCAAGTCTTTGAGGAGTCATGGAAAGGTAAATGAGACAGTGGCGTGCAGTGAGTGGTGAAGCTTGGTGTCAGTAATCGAGGGAGAGGGCAAGTTGTCTAGTTTGTTGAACAGTTCTCCCCTGAAATCAATCGATATATACGTTTCGCCCAACCTTCAGTAGGGTACGCATCAACTTGATCAACTCTTTTCCACCAGTCCTGGCATATTGCCCACGTTGTCCTCACACAACCTCCTGTATTCTCTTGCAGACCTCCATCGCATACCGAGCTCATCCAAGAAAGTTGTTAAACTCAGTACGTCAGATTGGCTACTATCTCCATCCTCTGAGAGCCGGTGGAGGTTGGAGGATGCATTATACACCCCATCAAGTATGAACGGCGATATGATACCTAAATTCCCGATGGGATCATTACCGTCGAATAATTGGTTGTAGAGTGCTTTCGAAATGTTTCGTATGTCCAGACTCGCCTGCCAGACAAGTCTTGCTGAGCATTTCTCTATCTTCTCCATTTCACGACTCTCTGATTTGTCACCGTGATGGGGCTTCAGTAGGTATGTGCCGTCTGGGGTAACCTTTGCCCGCAAGGTGAGCTTTTTGACGCAGAGGAACAGAGCCGAGCGAGCGGCGAAGCGAGGTCCGATCAGTCGAAGAGTGAGGTCGGTGCCGGTCAAAGATTTTGACTCCTGGTCGACAGTATCGATCCAATTCAGAATTTTCCTTGAATGGCTGATGATATCGTCAATATGAACCTGATCGAGTGTGCCCTCAATGCGAGATAGTATAAGTGCGCTGTCAATCAGGAGGGCGGCTTCGCAGAGTCGTGAGAACCCGGAGTGTTCTGCAGAGACTACTGGCTGCCAGTCGTACTCATGGTCCCCGACTACATCATAGTCGAGGGATTCCTGTTGCGAATTGATCATGAGCAAACGAAATACAGCACTATTCATGGCCAAGTGCTCGTAAACAAGTACTAACCCAACTGTCGTCATGCATCGGGAGTTTAATGTGTTCCTGAGCTCTTGATATTGCACATGGACTCTTGCTTCCGACAGACATAAGTCTATCAAGGATAAAGACGGCCCACCATGATCTCCTTCTTTCTTCCTCGTCCGTTTCGAACCATTGTATCTGTCCAGTTAATGCCAGTTTCACCATGAATAAACGCTGTGAGACCGTCAAAGAATCCGAAGTACTTACAGGCTTTCTCAGCGCAACGGTGTCTACTGACCCATGGAAAACCGTTTCTCTTGTTGCCCAGGATACGCCCACAAGCTCAATGTACCGAGTGCATAATCCAATACTCATCCAGGCAGCAGGGTAGACCGCGTGGCAATATTCGTAAAGTGCGACAAGGATCATTGCCTGAAGAACTGGCAGGGACACAACCCCTCTAGCTACGAGCGTGTCCAAAAGTCCTTTGGTCTGTTTATACAAGTAGCTGCAAGTGTTGTCGTCGGGGTCGGATGTCATGAGTCTCATTGCCAGAGCAAGCGCGACTATATCCGGCTCACAATTTTCAGAGAATGGAGCTGCCAATCGCTTCTTGGCGGATATGAACCGAAACCAGATGTGAATGGTCTTGAAATACTCGTCGCAGGAGTTTTTGACCTTGTCGCTTTCATTGACGAGCGATAGGATAGCCTTTCAGTTATCCATGATATTAGATATTCAACCATGTGTGAACTAAGCTGTGAGCCTTACCTCAGGTATTGAGAAATTTGGTCGGTACAGTTCTTCAAGCAACGCCTCAGTATGGAATCGATCGCCGTCGAGAAAAGCCGAAGCTGGAAAGGCACCCTTGATATGTACAGGTAGGGACTGTGTCTCCCTACGCAGGGCGCGTAGCGAAGGTCGACTATTCTGATCATCAATGATATGCATTTCATCCGATGGCGTCAGCATAAGCACTTCGTCCTGTTCGTTGGGAATATGGCAACGGTTGAAAAATTGTTTCTCAATCGCATCTACTCGAGCTTGTAGAGCGGCGAAGTCCACTGCACTAGGTGGGCGATCGGACTCATGTTGTGAGCCATGAAGTCGACGAAGTTGATGGGGGCGATCATCGCTAGGAACCTCATCGTCGCGCCGCCTTTTGTCGCCCGTTCTGACGATTGTCTTGCTCTCGAGCGGCATAGCGAAATGACTACGAGATGTAGTGCAATTGACGTCGCGCTATGGGATGGTGATGTAGTTGCTCCGGAGAAAGGGAGGAACTAAAGGGTAAATAACCGGCACTCCGTGGCTGTGGCGTCAAAGGGAACAGGCGATTGCGCACCAGCCACGGCCGACCTAGGGTGTCTCGAGAACTGTGGCTTGACAATATCGGACTCAAAGTGTGTTCGCATTGAGTTCTTTTCCTCTCTCCTTTCCTCCCTCTTGGAAATTCTCAAAAATCCGATAAGATTCTTCCGAAAATACTTGGACACGGACAAATCATAAAGGTGAAGAGGACTTTAGGTAAGTAGGGAAAAAAGGGGTCGTAAATTGCCTGATTAAGATAAAAGGTGAAGCACTTGATTACGGCTCTTATCGTGTGGATCAATAAAGGTGAACACGTTTTGGCCAGACACAAGCAAAGGTGAAGTTCATCACAAACACAAAGAAAATCACGACACTGGCTAGCTATTTCGCTCATCTGCATTTCCCCTTGAAAAGTCTCATGAAAGCTAGCTCCTTACTTGTCCGGGTCAACTTCTTTTCTTCCTCTCGTACAAACAAGACATCAATCCTACCAAAAGTCCATCACCATACACAAGCAAGAGTTTGCGCATTACACACGCAACTTTCGCATTACAAGCCACCTTTACCGTCATTGTCACAGTTAACAACCAGTTCAACGTGAAGTAGGTAAGGCGCAAAACACATGGAGAACTTCGTTCTTGTATGCTGATTATGTCACCCAGTTACTCATAAACTCCCTCCATAATGTGTCAAAACATGTATTACACGTTCGATTGCGGCCATCGTATCGGACACATTGCCGTTCTTCGCTGCGACAAATGTGTCATATCTGGTTTCGACTGCTAGTATCGCGAGACCTGTGAGGATGAGAAGCTACCTGGTGGAGCTTATGTCGCGACTGTAGTCTAGCTCCTCCCGTCGAGAGCGCGCCTGCGCGAAGCGAAGGCGAAATATCTAGAGGATTCTGGAAGAAGACAGGGCAGATGCTCGCTGCTACGGTTGAAGCGATCAAGCCCTCGAGGAAGTAAGAGTTGTTTGATAGTTGCGACATGGAATTTGACTGCTTGGCTCTCTGAAGGAAAGCTAATAATGGCCGCAAACTTCTTTTCTGAGTTTTCACAGCGGAAAATTTTCATAGCTACGAGTTGGTTTAGATCGTGACGAGAACCAAGGGGGGACCATTGCAGCTCTCTCGACTTATCATTGTGATTCCAATACAACAATCACCAAAAGCTTTCGCGCAATAAATTGATAATTATCCAAGACTGAAAAGTGCGTCGCGCTACAGACGGAAGCGCAAGATAGATCTGCGGCTTGGACGCGTTCCGAAGTACCGAATTTTATCGAGTTTTGCGCGCAACGCACACTGCAATTTGCAGTAACCCGCTTGCCGTCACGACGGGACGCAGCGACGCCAGAACTTGTATCGCCGATGCGTGACTTGTGAAATCTACAACCTCGATCTGATGGGCAGTTCATTGAGCTCATCCTCTGCTTTCTTTCTGGAGTCTTCCCAAAAGTTGGCTTTCGCGGAACCCATAGCCGCCCAAATGTCTAACAACTTGTCGTCGAAAGGTGGCAAGACGCGACCTGTGGTTCCCGGCGCGGGGTCTCCTGCCACCGATCTGAAGTACTCAAATACCTCTTTATAGAATGGTGCGATGGTGTAGTAGTCCTTGCCTCCACCAAACTCTGCGACACGGTCTTTCTCCCACTGCTTCTGTTCCTTCTTTGATGGTAAGGGGTTGCCCCTGCCTGCCAGAAGACGAGATACCGCGACTGCTTGCCATTCGAAAAGGCGGAAAGTGAAGCCACCTCCACACTGCACCGTGCCTGTTAGCATCATCGTCACATACCAAACAGGGGCTAGTAACTTACCATGCCTAAGAAAGCGAGGGTCGGATCTTCGATATCCCAAGTGTGGAAGTAGACTCCCGACAACCTCCGGTCAACTTGACGTATGCGTTCTTGTACCTCCGGCAAGAAAGGGAAGCTGAAGGTGAAACCAGTCCCGAAGACCACATAGTCTACGCCTTCGACTACGGTTCCATCCTCGAAGGTTATTGCACCGGTATCTGGGTCGAATTTGATGATCTGCTTCTGAACAGAAATATGGGGGTGTGTAAAAGGGGCCCAGCCAAAGTGAGGCAGAGGCTCTCCACGAAGTGAAGCATAAACCGGGTGTTGGGCAACTGGCAGGACTTCGTGGAGGATCTCGTGCGACGATACCGAACCTCCCACGACAATAACTTTCTATGCGTACGATAAGCGTCGGACTTCTATTGGGTGGTCGTAGTATCGACTTACCTTTCCCTTATACTTATCGGAATTCCTAAAGTGCTTGCTGTGCACAATACGGCCCGGAAACCTTTCGTCATATTCCGTGATTCCCTCGATACTCGGAAGCCAGGGTACGTTGTAGTGCCCAGTTGCTACAATGAGGGCATCAAATCTCTCCTGCCACCAGTAGTCTTTTCCAGGGTGCTCTTTCCTCAGTGTAAGAACCCATTCGTCACCCTCTTTGGCTGCAAGTTCCACGGTGGTACTCAATTCGAGAAGTTCTTGGTGCCCATTACGGACAAAGATGTTCTCAACCCACTCCCGGATCTGTTCCCGGCCGCGAAAGGGAGCGTCATCGCCATATTTCTCTCGGATCCGTTCAGTCAGAGTTTCTGGAAAGGGTTCAGTGGTAAAGCTCATAATCTCTGGGGTTATGTTGGTGTGTAGATGCTCGTGCTGAGCGGTATCCGAGAATCGGACCTGGTGGCTGTTGATAGCCTCTGACTTGGGTGTCTGGGCTGGGAGTTGAGATGGGATTGGAACGGGAGCATCGGCCTTTCCATCTAAGAGTGCTTTGAGAGATGGGATATTAGGAGGCAAGTGTGGGGTGTAGATCCTATGGCAAGAGTTAGAAGTCTTGCAGAGTTGAAGAGATAAGTGTTCAGCTTACCAGGTTCCCCCTGGGATGGGTCGTCGATCAAAGACTCGGACTGTGTCGAAAGCTTGTTCCTTGACCAAGGCATCTGTAGCAATTGCGCCTGAGGGCCCAGCGCCGATTACGGCCACTCTCTTAATCTTACCAGCCATATTGATTCGTTTCGTGGTATAGCTCAATGCGGAATCTAGGAATAACGATGAAATCGTACTAAGTGGCTTCTTGATTGTTCAAGTTACAATTCCCAGCAACTCCTGCGCTTCCGAGGCTCATATGAGACATTGGCATCTTACAAAAGTTGACTCTTCACTCGGGTTTCGTTGATTTGGTGCCAATTTATTGAGTTTCCGCGCGTTAAACAATGGCGCCACGGAATGGGTGGCATTGCGTCTTGTTGGAAGTCGAGCACGCAACCCGACTTGATGTGGGTCAAAGGATGCATCTTGACCACACCAAGAGCGAATTGATATCAGTCTTTAGCAAGTGCGTATCGGAAGGAAGCCGACTGCAGGTCCGACGCTCCATATTGCTTGTTCATCGGTAAGCCCCCGGTTCGCGGCAGAATTTCGCGGCTTTCTAACTACAAAGCACTAGTTCACGCCGATATCGTCATTGTCTAATCGAATGCGGTACCCATCATATCACTAAAGGCATCATACGATTATACTTGGTCTATAGGGGTAAGTTTAAACTCCCTACCAAGTAGCGTGGGTCTAGCCAGGGTAGAGCAGTAACTCTCAATAGCCAAATTTGTATTCGACGTGCACAAGAATCTCAAAAGTAATGCTACTGATGTAATCTCGAAAAGCACGGGCAAAGATACCTGACAAGGGGGTTAAACTTTGGCCTGATACCGTAGTAGACTCAGTTGGCTCTACAATATCTATTTCAGTACAATGCGATACCACGGCCTCACCATAATTGATCAGTGCTAAGGAACGATGGAGGAAATTCATTCTGATTGCTTTGCTCATACTACTCGGTGCCGGCTTCCGCGATCTCCGTCTTGATGAGAAGGAAGCCCTTGCTGGGCATGCCGTCCTTGTCAAGCAGCCTGACGAAGCGGTATCCAAGTCTCAACCTATCCAAGCGGACGCATGCCCACGCTGTCATAACATCCGGCCCGACGACATCGTTCATGACGACGAATGAGAGGAAAGCCAGCTGCGGTACAACGCCCTCGACGTTCAGGAACTCGATGACCTCTCCGCCAAAATCCGGGCTGGTGCCAGTACTCTTGCTCGTTTGGCCACTGTAGCCAATCTGTGTGACTTGCTCCCCGTCCACATCTTCACGCACCATGGCGGATAGCGCATCTGGCTCGGTATGCAACCCAACCTTGACGTAAGGGATGAACTTTGTCGGATCATCATGTGGGTTGAGCAGAGGAAGATTCTGAGCCGCCAGCACTGTAACAGCGACTCTGTCCAATTTCTTGCTCTCGATGTTGGATCCCACATCTTCGTCGTCTGACTCGCCCGTAGGATCGCGCCGATAACCATGAGGCTTAAGGACGTACCCATCCGAACCCGCAAACATGCCCTCGTTGAGAATCATGCCCACATCCCAGGACTGCCAGTTCAGCGCGACAACCTGTACGCCCGCTCGCCAAAAGATAACAGGATCAAAGTTGGACGAGTCAACCCGCATGCCGCGTGGGTAGGTCCTCATGAGGAAGTCTCTGTTATGAGAGAATAAGGCCTTTGGCATCCTTCTCTGAATAGCAAATGCCGTCTTTTCCGAAAGGGAAAAGATGTGGTTCGGCATCGATGCTTCGGCTTGCTCAAGAGACTTGAAGGTAATACCGCGCGTGTAGATGCCCAAACGGCTGAGGCGAGAGATGACTTTGGGTGGCTTGACCTTCACGGCCTTCTTCTCACCTCCTTCTGTCGTTGTGACATCAAGGATGCTGCTGCTGTCGTCGTCTAAGCCTACATTGACGCTTTCGGCACCGTCTTTATCCTTCGGGACGTATTTAACCTTGACAAGGATCTTTCTGCGCAGCTGTTCGGGCGACGCTAAAGAAGCCGGCTCTAACTCGGGCTCAGGGAGGAGGAACTCTCTCCAAGTCTCCTCCATGATATCGACCATGGCAGCCTGCTGTAGTGGAGTGCAGTGCACCTCCAAGCTGACAATGAGTGGCAGATCCGACGTGACGAAGGCGTATTCCTTGACGACTTGACAAACTTCGCGGAAAAGAATCTCCTTGGTGAGAGTGAAGCCATGAAGAACCCGTGGCTCCGCCCCAATAATGTCCGAAAGCCTATCATCGGCAGTCCTGCCTTCTGGGTCCACAGGGTCAAACTTGTTCATGATCCAACGGCCGACCTTGATGCCTAATTTGTCCCTCCGACTAAGCTTGGTTGGTGCGTTGTTTGTGCCGTTCTCGTTTTCTCCATCGGGGTTGAACCCGGGCTTGTATCGCTCCTCGCCATCCCAGACATCAATTTCGATACAGCGACATCCACGGAGGAGGACATCCCTGTAAGCGTCGGCGCTGGAGTCGCTTGATAGCTGGTTTCCGGTGAGGTAAGTGTTGTGACTCGAGCTGATGAAATAGCTACTCAGTGGCCACGACAGGTCCTGAGGAGACGCTATTTCGAGAACGTTGCCGCATGGCGAGGTGATATATTTGATCAGCTCGAAGAGATCCAGCTCGTCTTTGTCGATGAGGTAACCCGCTAGACCATTGGGATCCTCGACTTGCACGTGCTGCATGAAAATACTAATCTGGTCTCGAGTCCATGTGTTCTTTGTGGTGGCATATTTGTTGAAGAGTTGTGAGAGGTGGCCCAGAAGAGATTCGTCTAGCTTCTCTTGAATGCCTTTGCGTTCGCCGCTTGGATGGCCACCACCAGCGCGGTGTTGCTGGAGTGGAAATTCAGTCGACATAATGTTGTCACAACCGCAGGGAGAACAGTACAAAGAGTATGTTGGTTTTCGAATCGGTAGTGATTAGAAGGTAACGACTATGAGTTCGTTTTAAAGCGTTGGACTAGCCATCAAAGAGAATGTATTTCTTCATAATTCTGGCTGCCTCTTTCGTCGCGTTATGTAATTGGTCTGGAGATATTGCCCAAAATGGCATATATAGGAGGAGCTCCTTCCCGGTGGGAGGTTTCCCAGGCGGGGCAGAGGTGGAAATAAGGTCTCTACGGTTAAAGTATTAGTGAACTTACGCACCGTCGGCCTGGCCGAAGGCTGTTCTTAGCTTTGTGGAACCTCTATGTTTGGGTATGGAAGAGGCCAAGGCTTGCAAAGTGGACACGGCTATCACGGCAACGCACCTACTGGGCTCAGCCTCAAGTAGGTATTAGGAGACAGGATATGAGCGAAAGGCTGGGGTGATAACTTCTTTAAGCAACCGGCAACCGTTACGGGTTCCGGGTATCACGGACCCCGAGTACGGCATCGAGCCCCACTTCGTCGATAGAAGATATCTGTAAAGACTTTGGTCTCAAAACGTAGAGATAGTTCATTGCAGGGGGTCATGTGTGATGACTTTTTCCAGATATGGCAAGAACTGCAGTAATGCTCATTAATACTCGGTGCTATTGTAGACCCTGCCCATAGCAGGCAGGACAATGTCATCGGCACTTGTGTGTATCAATTTGTCAATCCTTCAGGACCACCGCAACCTTCTCCCCATCATCAACCTCGACAGTCTCAATCTCAAAACGATAGTTCTTAAATTCTCGAGTTGGCAGTCGCTTCTGGAACATGTTCTCCAGCTCCAAGTAACTGCGGCCCTTCATCTCTGGGAAGCAAAAGTAGAGATAGATAGAACATAGCAGCGACGGTCCGAAGAAGACGAATGCAACCTTGCCCCCGAGATTGGCGTTGCTGGGGTTGATCAGAAACGGCATGAGCTGCGTGACAAGACAGGCGGCCGCCGTATTGCTCATCACGTTGATAGAGTAGGTCTTTTGACGAAGGCGAGGGGATGCAGTTTCGCCACCGACAGCGTACCCAACAGCACCAATTGATAGTTGGAACTAAACGTTGATTATCAGCGGCGAAAGGAAAAGAATGACGAATAATCCCCGCTTTGACTTGACTTACTATGAATCCCCAAAGAGCCATAAGTGCAACCATGGCAGTAAGAGCGCTTTGGTTATTCTTGGGAACACCCAAGCCACCAATCACTAGCAGCAGAGCCGTCATAGCAATAGTTCCCCAGACTATCAGTGGTCTGCGACCAACTCGTTCAACTAAGAACCACGAGCAGATATTGCCAAGCAGCTGAATACTGTAACAGACCTGAGCAATACCGATAGGATTTCCCACCCCTGCAATAGTAAAGAAGCTATGAGATCATGCTGTTAGTAAACAAATAACTACCGGATGGTCTAGACTTACTATGATAGGTATCCCACAACCAGCTGAGCACCAGCAAATTGCTGTGTCAAATACACCATGCAAACGATCGTAGTTCTGCGCAAATTGGTACCTCGAAAACAGTCCAAGTATGAGGCGCCACCTTGGCTCAACGCCCTCTCCTTTTCGAGCGTAGCTTCCATCATTGCCAAACTCTCTTCCACGTTGTGTCTTGGGCCGTTGAATTTGCGTAGCGATTTTCCAGCTTCCTCGCGTCTGCCCTTCATTAGAAGCCACGACGGCGACTCTGGCAGTAAAATTCCTCCAAGTACCAGCATTAAGAACGGAGGCACCAGCTGGGCGAGCACAGGCAACCTCCAGCCCCAGTCGCTCTTGATGAAAGACCCGCCGTAGCCGACCAGAGCGCAAGACCATTGTCCAATGACGATCATGGTGTTGATGAGAATAAGGCATACTCCCCGCAGAGAGTCTGGTGCAATCTCAGCGACATAGACGGGTCCCAGAGCGTGGCCCAGTCCGTAGCCGACGGTGCTGATGAGCTTGCCGCCAAAGAGCATCAAGATCGAGTTCGAGAAGCCCTGTACGATAATCCCAGCAATGCAAAGAACGCAGCCACATATGACCACCATGCGGCGGCCGATAATGTCCGAGATGAACCCAGTGCAATATGCGGCTAGCACAATACCGACAGTAGTTGAGGCATTGAGGATTTGCTGATCTTGGGTCGGAACCTCCTTGATGCCGGAGGTCGTGGTCGTCCCGAAGCGGTCGAGGAAGGCAGGGATTGCAAGTATGTTGCCAACTAGTGCAAGCT